GGAGGATCAGCAAAGGGATCACCTAGATCAGGTCGCAGGTTGCGAATAGAGGCGACCGAATCTGAAGTAGGATCATTTGGACTAGTAGAAGGTAGAGACGTAGAGGTGCTAGAAGTAGAATCACTAGCCGAAGTAGAGGTGCTAGAAGTAGAATCACTAGCCGAAGTCGTACTGCTATTAACCGCAAAAGTAGATGGCACCTGAGAAGGACGAACAACGACAACATACAACTGTTCTTCCTCCTTGTGCTTGCGCCATTTCTTGCAGAACTTCATAGCATTTAGAAAAGTCACTGGGGACTCGTGCAAGAGGACAGGAAGCTCGTTCCGTCGAGCATCTTTGACCATGAAGAGTGACTCCTTCCACTTGGTCCATTCGCATTGGGACTGCAGCCAACCCAAGCCAAGGACAGCGTCGAAGGGGCACTTGCCAAGGACATAGAAGTTCAGTGCGTGGGTGACAATTTTGTTCTTGTCAAAGGTTGTGCGCACACCTTTGACTGCATGTGTAGAAGAGACAACTTCCTTGTTGCCAACTTGGGTTCGGCAAGGGTTCTGCAAGGCCACTTGCTTCATTCCCAAGCCCACTTTGCGTATCCCGTGAGGTGACATAAAGTTACCCGTCGCGCCACAGTTAATCAAGACACGGAGATAGCGGTGGTTTATGAGAAGTTTGAAGAAGATCAGCTTCGCTGCCCCTTGGGCACGCTGCTGTTTAATCTCAGCCCAATTCTCCAAGTGGTAGTGGAAGTCGACCGTCCCAGACTCCTCCCAAGGCTCGACATACAACATATCACACACTTCAGCCTTGGGTTCAGCAGATGATTGGGCTTCAAGGGAGGACTGCTGATCTGCATCAGATTCAGCCTCCCTTGCTGTAGAGTGCGCTGAAGTCGACTCTACGCCCGGGTCTGGTTTCCCTGCAACCTACTCTACCCCGCCAATCATTTTCAGTGATCCGGAGATCGACCCATGGTTTAGTGGCCGCATCCTCCGGTTTTGTTGGGATCTTAACTCCCTTGGGAAGTTTGACAAAATTCTTCCCCGCATTCCGATTCGGTCCCCTTGCATTGACAATCTTTTTAAAGGCAATCTTCTTGATTTACATCAGACTCATGGGCTGACAAACAGGCTGTATTAGCGTCCTGTTCTTGGTCGTCACCAAGAGTGCGGTCATTTGCTTCGGCCTCCTCTTCAGCCTCCAGCAGGTCATGCACAGCAAAACGACTGCTGCCTTTGAACCGCGTGCCGCCCATGGGCTTTTTGTTGCCTAGTGTGGTGACGAGGTCTACTACCTCGAGACTGACTATGTCCTTCATTAGAGTGAACCAGTCAGTATACCCAATGAAGTCCCTACCTAGGCGATTAGTAAAACTGGTGGGGACTGTGCCCTTGACCACATCCAAGCAAGACTGGTCAGTCAGTTAAGACCAGGTGTAACAAACATCTTGTTGAGATAGGTTTGCAAGCTTTTCATGGAGCCCGTCCACTTGCTGCATTTGATTTTGTCAAGCTGGCTTCTTGCCCTTGCCGCAGCGTGCGCATCCTTAAACTGGGCAGTGAGGAGCTCCTCGAGGTAGGCAACCGGGGTGGCCTTAAGCCACCTTGTCAGTTCGATCTTTGGAACCCCAGCCCGCGTAGCTTGGTCTTCTAGGAAGCCTCGTACAACCGGCTGGACATTCATTCCCATGATCACTGGCTGGGTCTCTGGCTGAGTCCCCAACACCTCGAAGTAAGCCCTCATGGAGCTGATCCAGGATTCAATGTCTTCATTGCCGTCGTACTTAGACGGTATTTGCACCGCCTTTCGGTCCACATGGGGAGCACAATTGGCAATTGTGCTTGGYTGAAAAGCCAGCGGTGCAAAGCTACCGTACGTGGGATTATGACTGGACGCCTCTAAGTCAGAATTTGTGCTTGCAGCGACGGCGTATGCCTCCTCGGATGACACAAGGCTGTCAATAGGGCCAGCCCGTCTGGCCCCGAAAGCATAAGTTCGGAGTTGTCCCTCCTGCGGCGGAGCACCGACGCTCTGGGGGTCTCTTCATCACAATTTCTTTCGCTCGGGGAGTCAAACCCTTGCAGACGACTTAGACAGGGAACGGGGTGTTGTAAGTAGTAGAGTGGCCTTGTCATCACGATCTGTTGAGATTCGGTCCTTTGTTCCAAAGGTTTCCCCCACCTTCTCAGTCCCCACCCCTCTTCAAATGTTTGAACGACGGTCATCCGTATCTGAAGAGAGCCGTCGGCCTTGTATAGTGGTCGATGAGCTGCTTGCTTCTCTTTTTTTTTTTCCTTTTTTTTTTTTTCCAGTTTTGCTGCTTCCGTCTGAAGAACCTTTTGCCCGATGTGGTACTCGACTTTCGGCTCAAAGGAGAACTGTGCCCGAGCCCATGTTGGAGTGGGTGCCACGTTGTAAGCTTCTGGCCACTGCAGCGCGCCATCTGTCCGAAAGCATGGATATGTGTCCGCGTGTCTTCCTGTACTTGACCCGGTGGGCGTTTGTGCATGCCACATTGTTCGATATCGCCCCATACGGCCTGCCACTTTTGGCTGCACGGAGAACTGGGACCAAAGGTTGGATCGACGTGAGTGCCACATTGTACACTTACTCACGATGTGGCGGGCGACCTTAGTTTCAGTATAAAAAAAAAAACTATTCTTCAAGTATTCAAACAAAATTGCAAACGTGTACTATGTACATACGTCTATAATATT